GTTTTATTACATGTTAGACATTCAGGGCCCAGGAAGTAAAACAGATTCAAAATCCCAAACAAACAGGAATGAAGTCTGAAAATAAGCCAAGAAATCTGAAAACAGATGAAGATTTCAGTAAAATTAATGCAAAACTGAACTAAAACAATTCTAGTAAAAAAAACAGACTAATCTTTCTTCTGTTTATCTCATAAAATGATATAACAACTCAGTATCAACTCCTCGTTGTACTTTTAAACAGCAGAACAACACTGATAAAGACGGGACAGAATGGAACTGATTTAGCTCCAAGATGTGCTATTACTCTGGTTATTAATGATACAGGCGGTACGTCCAGTCAGAAATCTGTTATCAGATGGTGTTCTTCCTGTTTTTTTTTTGAACAGAAATTAAGAAATTCTGTCTTTAATGTTCCAAACCAGAATAAAAGGGCTGTTTGAGAAGTGTCAGAAGTGCAGGAAGCGGCATGAGCAGTGTCACATGAAAGTCACACAAGCAATAAAACATCATACCAGCAGGATGTTGAAAACAACTGATGCTTTATTCATTTGTCCCTTTCTAGTTACATCTAGTCCGCAATTAATTACATACCGGTATATATATAAATATATATATATATATATATATATATATATGAACTTGTGTGATTTAATAGTACAAACAGTACATGTATTTGTAGAATAGTTATAAATATCTCAGTTTTTAGTCAGAGGAAAGATGAGGAGAAATGAAGGCTAAGATGGGATGAGTTTGGTATTTTTGTTGAATTTCTGAAACTATAAAGAAGTAAATTACCAGCTTTATACATAAATCACAGTAAGAGCAATGCTTATTCAAGATATCTCTTCACTGCTCAGTTTTTTATATAAAGCAGTGCACCTATATTTACTCTGTCAACACTAATGATGTGAACGTATCCCTCAGGAGCCGCATGATTGTGATTTGAGGTCTGTCTGTGGTTTGTAGCCGCAATGAAATGAAGGCTGTGTGGCTGGATGTAAACTGGCTCCTTTGGCAGTAACTTGTTGCAATTTTCCTCTCTGAAAATCAACCRTGCTCACTACTAAAGCAGTAAAATTAAATTCTTCAAGTAAGTCTTGGTGTTTTGTCTGAAGTTAAACAACTCACAAGCATGGAGCCCCCCTGACCCCAAAGAACTGATTCACAGAGTCTTTAAAATAGTAAAGAAGAATCCATTTTTTAGTGTTCTACCCCTTAAAGTTACAAGAAGTAGCAGCTACAATGTCCTGATGCATCTCAGTAATCCAGGTAAAAAATCAAAAGGAAAAAAATTGTATAGGTCTTCTGGACGGGTTCTTCTTTAATGAAACGTTTCGTCTCTCTTCCAAGAGACTTCTTCAGTCTGAGAGTTTCAGGCAAAATTCAGGCTTTTGAGTCCTGCCTCCAGGTGACTCATACTCACATCACGTCACTCATCACTCACATCGTTTAGTCTCTTGGAAGAGAGACGAAACGTTTCATTAAAGAAGAACCCGTCCAGAAGACCTATACAATTTTTTTCCTTTTGATTTTTTACCTGGATTACTGAGATGCATCAGGACATTGCTATTGGACCATTTTTAAAAAGGTACTATACTAATTAATAAAACTGCAACAACCAATGGGTATCTAAAATGTAGGACTTTTCAAATCTGATAAACAGGCTTCTGTTCTAATTAGATTATTTTATTGATGGGCTGCTGTAATATTTGTAATCATTTATCCATCTGTGGTTCCCCTCAGTTCAAGCTGCCCTTTGAACACGTTAGTTT